GCTCGGCGCTCGCCCCACTGCATCTCCGCTGGGTCGCCAGCCCGCCGCGGGCCCCAGAGTGGCGTCGCCGGCCCTTTTCTCTCCTAAGCGCCAAGCAGAGCTGCGAAAGGAGGTCTGAGGGGGTTTTCGTGTCCGCAGAGCCCCGGTGGACACCCCCCAGGGCCCTCCTTACCTGGTCGGCTCCACCCGCGGCCATCTTGGAAGTGGGAAGCGGCGGGAGGGGGAAGGGGCACGAGCGGGCCGGTACCAGGCGTGGGGAGCCGAGCGGCGGAGCGCATCGATGGGTGCCCCTGCCCGGGGCAGGGGTGTGGAGGAGGAGGGGCCCGGCCTCCACGGGGCAGAAGGCTGGAGGTCCGTGTGGGCGAGCCCCGAGATCTGCCCGGGGGCCTCGGGAACGTGGCTTCGGCTTCCTCCCCGCCCGGCCTTAGTCTTTTAATCTGTAAAACGGGCTCTTCTTGTAGCTCTCTTTTCTTGAGGTCTTAGGCAGCGCCTAGCGGCGTAGTTCCCAAACTTACGTGCACTTTAGTATCCCCTGGGGATCTTAGAAGATTCCAAAGCCCGGCCATGCCCCAGGCCAGTTAAATCATGGTCTCTGCAAATGAGATGTCGGTATTGCCAGTTTGTTTTGGAAGCTGTGCAGACAAGTTTGAGAACTGCTGGCCTAGCGTTTATGTGCGTTATTTTGCCTCTACACTGCAGAAACTCCAGAGACAGGGTCTGTGATCTAAGTCTCGTGCCCAAAGTCCCAGGGCCAGTCAGTAGCTGAGAGGGGTCAGAAGCCAGATAACCCGCCCCAGACCGCCTTCCAAGACCTTGCAAGACCCTGAATAAGAAGGCTCTTATTAGCTGCTAACTGACCCTCCCTCACCTCCCTTCTAGAATGCAGGTTCCCTGTGCCAAACCTGCTTATCCTGTTTACTGCTGTGTTCCCTGGGCCTGGCAAATAGTAGGCACTTAAATATTCGTTGAATTATCATTATATTCTGTGGACATCAAGGGAAGAGGAAAGACTCCAGCAGCTGGGAGCCAGAAGGCCTCAGTTCTACACTAGGCTTGGCTCCTAGGAACCAGGAGCCCAAGGGCTGTCACAGGCAGAATTAGCAGCGAGGAAACCTCAGAGGAACCGACCAGCTGACTCTGAGAGAGGACTTGATAGCAGAGTGGCTGAGGACAGGAAGGGTAACTCTCCATCACAGAAAGCATCTGGAAGCATGCAATGGGGGATTAATTTGTCTGGGCTCTGGTCATTAGGTTTGGGCCAAAGAACCCTGACTGTTTCTCCTGTCTCATAGCTCTGAAAACTCTTAGCAGCTTTAGTTACGATTGCAGGATGGGCAAGAACTTCAAAAAGGCAATGTCTTGATAGAATACATTAACACCCCTCACAGTGCTTGATGCATAATAGAAGCTTTATAAACGCTTACATTTCTGGGTGCTTTTAAGGAAAATACCAGGTCTCCTTCAAAACCCAATGTGCCCTCCCAGCTTATTTTAAGAAAACACTAACAGGAGGGTACAGAACTGCTTCAGCCCTAAATTAATTAGCAATTTAATACATCAGATTTTAAATCTGCTTTTACAGTGTTCTTTTGACTCCCCAAATCCCTTCCAGCACTCCTTCTGAGTCTTAGGGTTTTAAAACCTCACAATGACAAGGGGCAGCTGTTCTGAATCCAGAACCGCAAAGTTCAAGGCCCACAGATTTGCGTTTGGCGCCCTCTGTCTGCCTTTTCCACACCCTCTCCCCATCCTGCTGCCCCACCCCAGCCCCGAGCCCCTTCTTGGAGCCTCAGGCACTTACACCCTCCGTGTGTTTTGACCCATTTCTTACCCCTTGTCATCAGCACCCAAAAGTGTTGTAGATAAATCCTCATTGCAACTTGAGTCTAACAAAATTAAAAATACAATGAACAAGATTAGCTGTATGGCCATATGCACTCACGTCACCTCTCTGAACCTCCGTGCCTCCGGGCCCCCACCTCTGCTGTGGAAACAGCTGTTTCAGGGTGCTCAGCTCCTGGCCCACCTCTGCTGGCTAACAGCTGGCTGCCTTGGTGAAGCCATCCCGTTCCCCCATGCAGACTTAACCCCCAGGTTCCCAGAGTGATTCTCACCCATGTCATCGTCCCTTTGAGGAATGCAGAGCTGTTGCTTGATGCAGACAAGCGCCAGGCCTTGAGCTTGCTATCCTCGCTTCCAGGCACAGGTCTGGCCCGTGGTGGCCCCTGGGCTTGGGTAACCCCTCCTCAGGTGTGTCTGGAAACCTCCCCTCCCCTCCTCAACGTTCCCCATTGTCTGGAAACCTCCCCTCCCCTCCTCAACGTTCCCCATCTCTATAGGCTCACGGCACCTCCACTGCCCGAATTGTATGAGGATTAAATGAGTCAAAGTAAATGGGAATGATGGAAACGTGTAAAAAACTGGCTTTGTCAGTTTCTGGCGTGTTCGCTTGGTGCCTCCCCAGCAATATAATGTAGAGAAAGTGTGTTGGTCAACCTGCCAAGGTGAGGAGAGGCCCCGGGACTCCTCAGAGACTCCCGGAGGGACCTCTTCAAGCCTGACCTCTGAGCCTCCCTAGGCTTGCCAAGCAAGAGTGGGAATGCCCTTCCCAGGATGTCTGAGATCCATGGAAACCACCCCTGACCCACTCTGTGCCAGCCCCGTCCCGGGCTCTGGGACCACCAGAGTGATGACAGCCCACAGCTCTCACCCTCACGGAGCCTCCGTCAAGAGGAGCAGACAGATGTGGCATCTCACAAATGCAGCCACATCCCCTTACGAGGAAAATGGCTAACTGACCAGATGCAGACCCGACCCCAGAAGGATCATAAGCAGGGTGTCAGAGCTGGCAGCACTCTTAGAGATCCTTAAGCCCATCCCTCTCATTATTCAGGGGGGAAACTGAGGCCCAGAAAAAAAGACAAGGAAAGGCCCAAGGTCAAGTCGGGTAGGAGGTGGGCACAGGAACCAGCCCAGAAGCCTCCTTCTCTGCAAGACCCCTTTCGTGTCTCTTTTCAGGAGCGATGGGGATCTAGGCTCCCAAACACACATTTTGCCCCCGCCTCTTCCCCCACCCCAAATGCGAGCTCCATAAATATTTGTTGAATGGCTGAATAAATCTTGCTCATCCCTACAGCTGTATCTGGAGCCCTCCAGGGGCCCTCTGCTGTGTGGGCTGTTCCAGCCCATTGCCACCGTGGAGCCCCATAGCCCACCAAGCTGGTGCATTGAGTCCGATTTTGCAGGTGAGGAAACAGGTGCTGGAGGGTGAGGCTGCTCAGCCCATGTCTCACCGCTTACCCCCCACTGTCCAGAAGCTCCTGCCCACTTGCCATCCTGCCTCCCACCCTCCTTGCCCCTGGCTTCTATTCAGAGCCACCAGGGGCCAGGCATAAATAAAAGTAACCGGTGGCTGTCACACTCCACGTTAGGAGCTTGGTCCGGCTTTGGGCCCATCCATACTGGGCAGAGGCAGATTACACAGCCTTCATTTATTTCCAAGAGCTTCCCTTTGGCCCATGGGCTTTCAGAAATCCACAGGAAGCTTATTCTTTGTGCCTTTATTCCTTGGAGTGTTACCTCCTTCACCATGGAGATGGAGTTCTCATTTTTAGGACACAATGCCTGGAATTTAGGTTTTTCCTGTTGGTTCTGGAAATTGAGCAATGTGAGAAAAAAACAGGCAATAAGAGCCCAGATAGCTGGAGGTCAGCCTTCCGGCACCCTGAGGCCCACAGAAGACAGCCAGAGCCACAGAGACGGAGAAGTGTCAGAGCAGCCAGAGTGGCCTTCGTGAGCCTCTGCACTTTGCTGAAAGAAGCCGCACCCAGACCCTCACACCAGCGCCAGAAACTAGTATTTTACTCACAGCTTTAACAAGTGCAGTTACCTGTTTCCTACCTGCAGTACATTAAAATCAGAGAATTCAGAAAGGCGGGACTCCTAGTAATAGCACATTCATGAAAGGGAGAAGGCAGGACTCCAGCGAAGGAGGAAATCACAGCACACAGAAACCCTTTGGTCTAATAGACGCTCGAAGGGAGCTATCCGTTTAAATTAACCCAAAATTCAGGCAAAGACTGTTGTAAAAAGATGTTCACCACAGTGTTATTTACAGCAGTGAAATGGACAGAATGTAGATGTCCAACACTAGAGAAGGTTAACTAAATGGAGAGACTCATATGCAGCCGCTTAAAAAAATCTTTAAAGAATTTATTATGGCACAGAGGAAATGCTTAAGTTATGAGTGATACTGAGTTTTAAATAAATTATAATCAAAGCGTATGGAATCTGCGTTATCCATAGGAATAAAAGAAGGCAGGAAGAAGCACTGAAATGAATATTGGAACACTCACAGTTATCTTCTGCCCCTCTGTATTTTGAAACTTGCAGATTTCCCCACCACAAACATGCTCTACTTGTTATGAAGATGTGCTAAGATGCTCCCGAATGGGTAGCCAACAGACTTCTAGAAGCGTGGTAACCTGGGGCCATCAGATGAGGGCTCCGCACCCCGGCCCTTCTCACCAGAGCCTCGAGATGAGCAAGGCAAGTACTGTCCCCATTTTGTGAAGGGGACACTTGTGCTCTGAGAGACTAGGTAAGCAATGCAAGGCCAAACAACACTTGCTGTGATGGGAGGGATGACAACAGAGCCGGGTGACTGCCGTCTCTGTCGCCCACCCTCTGTAGCAGCATCTCCAGCCACCCTCGCAACCCTTTGGTGCTGTATTGTTGCCCCATTTTGCTGGGAGCACTTGAATCCAGGTGGCTCTGCCCCAAAACCAAAGGCCACTCATTCCCAGAACATCCCAAGTAATTGATTGGAAGAGTAAGTTATGATGAAACTAATGGGTCCTCCAAAGAATAGAACCTATAGTGGTGGTGGGGGGACCCAGGGGAGCCCCTGTGGCCTGTGGTTCATTGATTCGTAAGAGGTGCCCAGTGCTGGAGGCCTTAAGGCTCTAGGTACAAAGAAAGCTCCTGGGGGCGGGGCTCCCTGTTACAGCACACCACAGTGGAATTTTCCAAATAGCCTTGGTTCTTAAAGGTGTCACCCTGTTGCCTGCTTCTGCCACCATCAGACAGCAAAGCCCAATTTAGAGGCTGCAGGATCAGGTCTCCAGTGGGAGCCATGTGAGGTGGGTGCAGAGGGAAGAGGTGGGTAGGGGGCTGCAGCTCCTTCCCTCACCCGTTGATCCACTGTGAGGGACCCCGCCCACCACAAGTGAGGCTGTGTCACCTCCAGGCTCA